CAGGATAGCGACCTCGTTTGTCCAGGGACAACATGATCACCGCGCCCCTTGCAGGGGTTCGAGATCTGCTCCGATGCCATGCCCGCAACTGTACAGAATGACGACGTCGCGCTCAATACACACTAGAGGCTAGCACGGAATAGTACAAATCGAGTCCGATCATCTCCGATGCCAACAATGTGGCAATGATTTCTTCAGCATTACGGACCTGCATGTGCGTCAGACACGGGGTGCGGCCGCCTGTGCGGCTTTTGCATGACTGGCAACCACCTTAAGTACACGTGCGGTTGATCAACCTCCATTACCTGCATCTGACCCACCCATTTCTCCCCCACCTGACCTCGCATGCTCCCCGGCCCCAATGATCAATGACCTGCCTTCTGATCATTTGATGGAGCCTCTGACTGAAGATGACCTCTCTCTGGGGCATGTGCTAGAGCCAATGCAGTTGACACAAACACAGGAACTTGACAGAAACGATCAAGACCACAATGAATCTCCACCTGCGGTGCAATCCACAAAATTCAATGAACTGCCCCCTGCCGCACAACCAGCAGAATCAGATGATCTCATAGTGCTACAGTGAGGCCACTGTGCATACTATGCTATCAATGTAATATTGTCCGTTGGAGAGAAGAAGAGCACCGTACTGTCTCCCCAGAGGATGACAGTACTGGTCCTGGAGTGAACATAGAAGTCTTGTCTATGACATTTATGGGTGGAAGACTACAACTGCAGCCTGCTCCCCAGAACCACATGCCAGACATGGACTGAAATATTCGCGCGTACATCCTGCATCGTCCAGGTCATTTCAGTGCTGTGACCTTTGCAGATAATTCATGGGCCTTATGGGACAATGGCGGTAGGGTGCACACAGTAAGTAGTATTAACTCCTATAACCAAGTAGCAAATACTCACTCATTTTGGATTGTCCGTCAGGAACAGTATGTTATTTTGCACCCTCAAGCGCTTCAGTCTCTAGAGAGCAATCCGGATGTACAATCACCTCCTTCCCCTGCACATGGCCAAGCAGTTTCCCCTCCCTGTGTGGATCGAACAGATTCTGCTCCAAACAATGAAAGAACCTCCCTAGAAGATGTTGGCTGTGCTCTTCCATTCTGTGGCCACACAGCCACAGTTCGGTTAGCATGCACAATGCATAGTCTCTGCTCCGAACACTATGAAGGGATGGTCACTGGCAGCCCCTCTGTCACGAAAACTGCGACGCTTTGTCTTGTCTTCATCCCCCCCCCACCCCTAGTCGCTTGCCCAATATGCCGTCGTGGCCTTAATCTGCCATGCTTAAATAGCTGCGAATGTCAGCCTGCCTTCCTGCTGACATGTCAGCAACATGCCATGTGTCATCACTGTTTCCAAGAAGCTGTCATAGAAAGCATGTGTCTCTACTGCGTGGACTATCCATGATGTCATCATCTGCCACATCCTCTCTTAGCATGTCCCACATGCAGAGTTGGGCATACACTTGCTGCAAACGCCATTGGATTTCCTTCTTTCTTGCCCGACGAACGGCAAACTCAGCAGCCTGAGCAGGAAAATAGAGTACCATATGAACCACTTATAGAGCGCTGTGCTGAAGGGCTAACACCACCAGGACGAACTGTTGCAGAACAAATCCTGCGGCAACTAGAGAACCTTGTTTTGGATGACCCTCTCTTGCCACAGTCATCGTCATTGGTCCATAGAGAAGGAATCAATGCCGAGGAAACCCAAGACACCTGCTCATTGCCTTTCTGTGATGATCCACCTGAGATTCGGCTAGAATGTGGGTTGCATGCATTGTGTCATGAGAATTATGATGGTACAGTCCATGCGTCTTTTTGTTTTCATACATATGATGACAGTCACTATTGCACTTGCGTCCGGCACCGTGACATGTCATGTCCAATTTGTAGACAAGGGCACAAACGGCAATGCCTTTATAATTGCGGTCGGCGTGCCCGAGTTCCTTGCCTGTGATATTTGTCTACGTCGTGCCATTCGGTGCAGCAACTGTGACTGCGAGAATTGGCTGTGATGCTTCCACAGTCCGCACCCGAATTGGTGCTGTCTGGTCTGTAGGGGTGGCCACCTACTATAGCCAACGGCTACTCATCGAAAATCATCCCACAACCCAAACACTGACTGACCTCTCATGCCATTCTAGAGTGGTCTGCTCAAATGGTATGTATAGAGAACCTACTGAACACTCTCTCTCTCTCTCTTTATATATATACATATTTCCTCTCTCTCCTCCTCCCCCCCATTATGTACTCCCTCTCCTTGTATACTTCCAGTAAACGCATATGAATGAGTGTCATTAAGAGCACAGACAAAACATAACTTACCCTTGTACTCTTGCCTCTTTCTATAGCGTCCAAATGGGCCGTAAAGGCACACAGAGATGTGGGCAGCTGGCGCTCAACCGTTATCAACGTGGCCAGCATTGTACGTGATGGGCACAGTAAGAGGGGAACTGCAAAAACAAAGAAAATGGGAGGCCTCCCAATGGTAGTTGTTGAAAGCATAATCAAGAAAACGATATAACGGACTTATTGTGTCTCGTATTGGTTTTACTGTTGGGTTGACCCATGTCAAGTGTGTTGCATTGCTTGTATAAAGGTGAGATTCCTTGCTTGTATAAAGGTAAGATTCCGGTGGTTTGGATAGATATTGAGTGTTATTGACTTTACAAGCAAAAACTGTTTCATTGGTGGATTGACTCATCTTAAGCATGCTTCATTGTCTGCAATAGAGGTAAAATTGCTATGACTTCGGATGTACTCATCTGGGTGGAAGAGGGGAAGTTGTGGTGATAATTCATAACACACATACACAGACACATAGAAACACACACACACACACACACACACACACACACACACACACACACACNCACACACACACACACACACACACACACACACACACACACACGAACAGGCGCACGCACACGCACCCACACGCACACGCACACACACACACACATGCTTCGGCGGCGGACGGGTGTGTGGGCAGTCGGCGCTGAACCACACAAACGTGGCCAACCTTGCATTTTCAATTATATTAGCTATCTATCCCTTTTGTTATGGATGGATGGTTTGTCTAATTTGTGGGGAAATGAGAGGGAGAGGCAATTTGGGGTACTTTAACAACACACTTTCCGGTCTTGCTCTCTCTTTTGGCAGAGTTGAGATTGGGCTCGTACTAGCGAGCTATTCTTTCTCTGTGGTTGGATGCGTTTTGTTGGGTTTGTTTCTATACATGGCCTAATTCTTTGCCCTGCTTTGCACCATGGGCTGTTTTGTTGATGAAGTGATGTTTGTGGGTGGCCACGAGCTTTTTTGGCTCAGAGAGTGTTTGCTGTGGGTGTCATTCCCGCGGGCCGCTTTTTCGGAGCACATGGAAGAATGGGCCAGCTTCTAGGGTGTTTTAAGCAGTAGCGCTCCTGGTGTCGCTCGGAGATCTTGTGGAATTTGGCATGCTAGTCATGGAGTGATAGAGATGGCAGTGACGTGAGTGTAGAGCGCCAGTGCTGGTTTGTGTGTGGGCCAACTCGGAGGGCTCTCCAAGTTTTTTCGGACTATGTGGGCTCTGGTCGGTGCTTTCTTGCTGGTGAAGCCTTCTGGGTTAGGTACGTTACTTTGTTGTCTTTTGCCTTTTATCTTTATTGTGTGGGCCGACGTCGAGGGCTCTCCAGGTTTTTCGGATCTTTGGAGTATGGGGTCGGAGCTTTCTTGCTGGTGAAGTCCTCGGTTTTAGGTAAGTTGCTTCTTGCCCTCCACCCTTTTATGGACGAAATAAATATATGCATGTATGTATATGTGCAAGTGTGCCGCTTCGGCGGCAGGCGGGTGTGTGGGCACTTGGTGCTGAACCACGCAAACGTGGCCAACCTTGCATTTTCTATTATATTAGCTATCTATACCTTTTGTTATGGATGTATGTTTCGTCTGATTCAGTCAGGTGAGACTAACTAAGCAGTCGTTGGCAGCTTCGACATCTACCGACTTCGTACCCTGGGTTACTGGCATGTATGTGTGTGTCCTCTTCTCCAAGCATTTCCTGTTGTGATTGGCTGGATGGCATTTTACCTGCCTGACTGACATCCAGCGGTGAAGGCATGAGCTCATAGCAGCGGGATGGGATGACTTTTTGTTCCCCGTTAGATGGTTGCAGGTGTATCTTTTCCCTCTGCCTTGACCCAAAGTACTGATGTTGCCACCTGTGGGCTGCTGTTGTTGTTCACTTGCAGGGCTCTTGCAACAGGATTTGGTTCGAGAATTGCTGAAATAAGGAACTTAGTAATAACCGTTTGGAGCTTTCGAGGAACAGGGCAGTGGTCTGCTGTTGTCCCTCGATTGCAGGCCGTCTGCAAGGGGATTGCATTTGAGGATTGTTTGATTGAGAGACTCAGTAACAACTGTTTGGAGCTTTAAGGAATAGGGCAGGATGTGCCATCACCTTGAGCACATTCAAGTTAGTTTGATCGGCTCATCGTTTTCCTGGCGTCAGTTTGAACAGAGTGAAGTCAACCCAATCAGGTGCAAGATTCCTCAGTCCTATCTTTTGAGAATTGTGACGACAATCACGTGTTCCAAATTGATGGCACGAGTCCCTTGATTGTGCTTGGTCAATGGTGAAGCGTTTGCCCGGTGAGCTGACTATCTATCCCATGGCGGGTCTGTAAGAGCCTGACAGCTGCTGCAAGGCCATATGGCTTCTCTGTTTTTCAGCTGTCCAATGATTCGTGGCTTCTCTATTGCGTACATTATTTGTCCAGATTGATGCGACTTGTGATAGCATGAACCATTTACTGTGGTTCACATTTATGTGAGGACTTGGGGTCCTGGATGTTGGGGATGTGACTGACGATATCACTGAGGGGTGTGATGTGGCTTGCAAGCTTTCAGTAATATTGTTGGTGAGTTGAAGCCCTTCAGGGGTGATTTATTGTTCATGTGGGTGATTGGTACGCAGCTAACATTGTGATGACGAAGGCGGCGGTGGAATCGTCAATCGCGACGCAAGACGAGGAGAACGAGGGGGATTGGCGAGAGAATTGGGGTCAGGAGAAACAGAGAAGGCTATTTTCTGCAAGAAGATACAAAACTGGGTCACGGCATACGGGCGTTGGAACTGGGTGGCAGTGGTGGGCTTAGGTTGATAAGAGATGTCTAGCCGCAATTCATCAAGACTTAGTGAGGATGGACCGAGAAAGCGCAGCAGCAACTCCGTTGAGGCTGTGGCGCTGTTCCCAAGGCTGCATGTTAGCCATGCTCAGAACACTGGTCCAGGTAGTGGACCACGTGCACCTCCCAGGAACAAAATGGCTCTTTATGAGCAAATCACTTTGCCCTCGAAGCGTTCATTCTCTACGCTCATGTCCTCATCAGCCAGTATGGGAGGAAGCCTGCATGGGCATTATAACCAGCCTACGGCCGCATCCCCGGTAAGTCCTCTGATTTTGCTCTCATCCATTCCTTCTTGGTAACTATCCCCAGGCCTCCTGGCTTCCCTTTTATGGACAATTCCCTTTTGTTGAGAATATTTTGTCATTTATCATCTCTTTTTTTGGTCCCATCACATTTGTGAAGGTCATCGTGCGACATCTCTCCCATCTGGTTTCAGAATTTTCAGATCCCATTGTGTTGGTCCGGTCCAGGGCACACATTTCTACTTTTGTTTCCATGGTTATCTCTTTGTTTTTCTTCCTTTCCTCGCCTTAGAATTGCTCCACATGTCTTGTCCTGGTTTCTATTCTGGAAGAAGCAGAATTCATACCTTTGGGAAAAATCCTTAAGTAGGTTTCCCACTTCGGTTCTGAATTACAAATGTACTCTCACTGAAGCTATCAGGCGATTTTCGTAGTTTTGGCGAATGGGGGAGATAGTATTCACAGATACATGGAAAAGGTTTCAAAGTTCAAACTTCTCTTTCTAATAGCTGGACAGCCATGGCATCCTACAGGGTTTGCATCCACAAAGCTAACTTTGGAGGTTTGGTCGGTCCTGATCTAGTGAATCGAGGAACGCTACATACTCGGCAGAGTCAACACTGCTCCCACAACAAACTGGAGAGGGGATAACATATTTATGTGTCTTTTAAGCCACCAACGGGCACCTTTATCTCGAGAGTGGGGCGTTTTACAAACTGTATCCCGCGGTTCATTGCAGTCTATGCCATGGCACATGCATAGATTGCATCGGTGCTTAGTTTGTTAGTCTTGTTGGTCCATAGTTACTCGTTTTGTTGAGCTAGAAACGTTTATTAATAAATTGAGGCCTATTGAATGAAGAGTGAAGATTCTGAAGAACCATAACAGTTGCATTGGCTGTCCTGTCTCAAACCAGTCTCTGTTGGTGATGGTAATTTGCCTGTTCACTTTACCAGCGGTTGAGGGGTTAACTCCACTGGGCTTGAGTTCAAATGAGAAGATGAGGAGTTGGTCCAGTACTTCGCCTCAATATGTGAAAAGAATGATGGGCGACAGTGAATGATGTGTGTTAAGTGAAATCGAGTTGAAAGGAAGTACATTTGTCAAATGAGATTGGCATTTAGCCATCAGGCCAATCGCTGCATTTCTAATCCGGACAACAAGCCAAACGTTGCTGATTTGGATCACGAATTTAGTGATGACACACATATCATAAGTCAACTGGTCAATTTAGTTAATGCATATGAGCCTAATCATATGAAACGTTATCTGAGGGGACGGAAGGTTAAATATAACCCCCCCCCCCCCTGCCTCTTTCTCTCTCATGCACAAATACACACATGAAAGTACATGTGTGAGCAAGCACAGCGACACACATGCACACAAGTCCACACTTGGGGCTTGTATGTTTTGTGTGCATTGTCCAACATGAAGACAAAGAAAAACACCTTGCTCAATTCTTGCTAGTGAATCCTCCATGGTGTTGGTGGTGTGTTGGCAGGAGTGTCTCCTCTCTTTCTCTGTGACACACACACACAGACAACAATGTTCCTGGCATGAACATAGAAGTCTTGTCTATGGCATTTATGGGTAGGCGACTACGACTCCAGCCTGCTCCATGAAATCACGTGGCAGGCATGGATCCGAATAGTCAGGCATACATATTACATCGTCCAGGTCATTTCAGTGCTCTTACCTTTGCGGATAACTCATGGACCCTATGGGACAATGGCGGTAGGGTGCACACAGCGGGAAATATCGACTCCTATCACCACTCGGTAGAACAGCACTCAGTGTGGCTCGTCCATCAGGAACGGTATGTTGATGAGCACTCGCAAGCACTACTGCCCCCGGAAAGCAATCCGGCTGAACCTCCTTCCCCTGTGCATGGTCAGGCAGCATCCCCTCCCTGTGTGGATCGGACGGTTTCTACCACGAACAGTGAAGGGACCTCTCCAGTGGATGGTGGCTGTGCCCTCCTCCCATTGTGTCGTCGCACAGATACAGTTCCGTTAGCATGTACACGCCATAGCCTCTGCTCCGAGCACTATGAAGGGATGGTCGCTGGCAGCCTCTGCTAAATAACTGCGCACATCAACCTTCTTTAATGATGACATGTCAGCAACATGCCATGTGTCATCAGTGTTTCCAAGAAGTGTCATAGAAAGTTAGTGTCTCTACTGCGTGGACTATCCCTGGCGCCAACATCCGCCACATCCTCTCCTAATGTACCACATGCAGTGTTGGTCATACAGCTACTGCAAGTACAGACAGAATTCCTCCGTCCTTGCCTGACGAACGACAGACAGGAGCCTGAGGAGGACAATAGACTACCATATGAACCACCTACAGAGCGCTGTACTGATAGGTTATCGCCACAGGGGCGAGCTGTTGCAGACCAAATCCTGCAGCAGCTAAACACCCTTGCTTTGGATCAATCTCTCCCATCGTTGTCTACCCAGAGAGAAGGAATAAATACTGAGGAAACCCAAGGAACCTGCTCCATGCTGCTTTGTGATGAACCACCGGAGATTCAGCTACCATGTGGTTCACATGCCTTATGCCGTGAGGATTATGGAGGGATAGTTTAGGTGAGCTTTTGTCTTCATGTGGATGATGACAGTCAACACTGCACTCATGTATGGAACCCTGGCATGTCATGTCCAACTTGTAGACAAGGGCTGGAACGGCAATGCCTCTACAATTGCGGTCGACGTGCCTCTGTGTTCCTGTAGCATGTAGGAGCCACGTAGCCTGTGACATCTGTCTATGCCATGCAATTTGATGAAGTAACTGTGACTGCGAGAATTGGCTGCGGTGCTTCCACAGGCCACACCCCCAAACCGGTCCTGCCCGGTCTGTAGAGGTGGCCACTTACCATAGGCACTTACCACAGACACTTACCATAGGCAACGGCTGCTCCTCAAATCTTATGCAACCCATACACTGACTGGCCTCATGTGCCATTCTAGAGTGGCCTGCCCCCGTAGTCTATTTAGAACCCTGTCAGAACTCCACGTCCCATTTCATTCCTCCTTCCTCTTGTGTATTAGTAGTAATACAAATTATACAATACAATGAATACGAATGAGCATCATTAATAGAACATAAAATATAAGTTGAAGATTTGAGTGCAAGGAAAATGAGCAATAGTGAGATGACAATAATCAGATTGCACAATCACATTGAAGGCCAGATAGTATCACAGTGTCCAGAAAGCAGGAATGCACCAATATAACACCAATGAAGATTCGTAACACTGAAAACCAATGTCAATGAGAGCTTGCTGTCGCCACCACCAACCTGTTTGTGAGTGTTCCGCTCACATCTGCATGCGTGTGTGCGTGTGTATGTGTGTGTGTGGTGTATGGATGGTCAGTCCCGTACGTCGATATCAAGCCACATCATCATTTACATCACCGTTCGTGTTCTCACATGTCTGTAGGTGTGTGTTCCTCTCGCATCCGCATGTGTGTGCCCGTGTGAGGTGTATGGGTGGTCACTCCTGGACGTCGACATTGTGGATTCCCCTGATCGAGCTTTCAGTGCTGGATACCAGTGTGCATGTACCGGGACGCCATTTGAGAGCCGGTTCATGTTTGATGTAGACCAGCCTGGGAATGGCGCGCAAACAAAAAAAGAAGAAAGCACTGCGGTCCCGTGATCCACCGCCACGCCGTTGGATGTTTCCAGAGCAAGAGGCCCCACAAAACGACAAAGAAAATCGAAACAAAACAAACACCTGTCGCCGGACACCTCATTGGGCCCGCCTTCTTTCCCACAATTTTTTCCTAACACTGGCTCAGGGTCTTGTGGGAGCGTCACGTGAGACCCGCTATTTGCGTAAAGGGATGTCTGCAGCCATTACAGATGAAGATTAATAAATTAGCACTACTTGGTAGAATAGGCTCTTCTATCATTAAAATTTCAAACCATCTGCTAAAGGTTTTTTTTTTTTTTTTTGGGGGGGGGGGGGCAACAAAATGCTCCAATCTATTCGTGGGGAGCAGCACGTGCTGGGAACCGGGCCCAGCGTCCCATATAAGGATACACAAGTATTAAGGCACCGGGGCCGTTACCTGGCTTCGGCTGGGAAAACTCTGAGAACAACTTGCTCCAAGTACTAAGGAGACAACCTCGAAGGGGCTTATGGAAAAAACAGACGTCTATGCAATACTAAATTCAAAGGGCCCTTTTGTTTTTCAAGCCTTGGCTCACGGGAGAATTCAGACCGAATAACCCACCTGCCTTGGTGCCTTTCAGCGGCCGTAACCCTGCCTGCCTCACCCCTATACCCCGATGCCCAATCTCTACCAAGCCTCACGCCCCCAACTGCTCGGTTACAGAGTGGCACGACCCACCCCAGAACACCCCCACTTGCTAGGCCACAGGGCAACGCGACCCGCCCCGGCTCCGGCCAGCGTCGACTAGGCATCAGGTCACCAACAGACACTAGAGTGCCTTCCACCCTCGACAACTCCCCAGATCTATCTACCAGGTCTCATGCCCTCGTACAGCTCGAGTTACAGGGCAGCGCGACCAAGCCCTAGCACCTACCAGCATCGTTCTGGCCGTCTATTTGGCAAACCTCAGGGACTCATGACTACAGCGCCATAGTTGTAGCTCCGATCATCCAGCCTCCAGGCACAAGTTGCAGATATCCCACTAAAGAAACCTTCTCAGCCCTACTCCGGCAAGTCTTACTGCATTGGAGCCACCATCTCCACCGCTTCTATACCCTATTTCAACCCTGCAGGCTAGCCCCTTCGCCGCAGAGTGAGTCCTCTCCCACCATCACAGCCACCATAACCCCCTGCCACTAGCACCAAGCCTTAGAAGAATTTTCTACTTTTAAGAAATTCGAAAAAAACTTCGAAATACCAGGGCCATTACTCGGCTTAGGCTAAGGATGACAATTGTGCAATCTACACAAAAAACAACCCCAAACCTCGGATCAGGCACTGGTTGCAGATATCCCCCTCAAAAAATCCCTCTCAGCCCTACTCCGACAAGTCTTACCGCGATGAAGCCACCATCTCCGCCGCTGCTGTACCCTATTTCAACCCTACAGGCTAGCCCCTTCGCCGCAGGGCGCATCGTCTCCCACCATCACAACCGTCACAACCCCCTGCTCCCAGCGCCAAACCATTGAAGAATTTCCAATTAGAAAAAAAGATTCAGACAACTCAGATGAACATTCAACACCCACTATTTCCACAGGAAGAGGGAAGGAGGGGAAAAAAACTACCCTCTCTCCCCGTGGAAACTCGAGCACCTATTGAAGTCTCAGTTACATATAGAGGGGTCCCAAGAACCAAAGGGATTATTCCTCTCCTCAAAAGGACAACCTCCTGTCTGTTTACTGCCTCCGGGGGAAGGTGCCCCCTCACCTTCCCGCCCCAGTCCAGAACAGGCCCCCAAAATACACTCCTGCTCCCTCAGACGCATACAGTACCCCCTAAAGTATGCCCCCGCAGAGCCGAAGGTCCCCCTTCCGTCCTGTCCCGCACCCCCTCCAAGCAGAACAGCCCTCTCGACTCTCACCTTGCTGAAATCAGCACCCCTTGTCCCCTCTCCCCAACCGCCATATCTGATCCGACCCAAGGATCAGCGTGGCCCAGAAGAGGACAAACCCCCAGTACCGCACCTACCCTCTCAAAGATCACACCATCCACCTTGTGCAACCCTCGCAGGAAGGGGCTCCAACCCTGATTTAAGGAAATATTCCATTCGAAACCTATAACCCCAAAGTTCCCAAACCCACAACATCACGAACTGAGGCTCAATTACTAAGAACCAAATTTAAGATCGAAAATGATTCTACCTTACGAATTGGGTAATTCCGACCTTAAGCTGGAAAGGAAACTAAAGTGATCTTTAGACTCGAATTCAAAATTAAAATTGATATCAAGGCAATCATCTAAAAATTTACCATTTGTAAATTCAAATTTCGGGTTCGAATATCAGAACTTGCGAAGTAATAATCAGGTCATATTTCAGGAGCACATGTTTAAGAAAAGTAATTATGACGTAATTATTTCAGAGATAGCGTTCAGCGTGTGTTAAGAACAGAATAATTCTGAAGTAATTTTAGCTGATTATGAGAACAGACATCAGATATTCCATTACGGGAATCACATTATGCTAAGGACAGGTTTTTTAAGAGAAAGAATTCAGAATGCACATCCAGGAGAATACCACGACTCATGAATTACCAGTCTACAAACCATTACCGACGTACAGATCATCAAAATAAGAAGATTTAACACGTAAATTCCAGCACGACAGAAGAGATGGATCCACTATGAGAATTTCGAGCAGTACTTAGGATGACGACTTCGACATAACCCAAACAATCCTACCACATTCAGACCGTTTTTTTTACGCTGCATAGAAGCCATTAGTTCGCGTTCGGCTTATGCAAAGTGATATCCTCTTGCTCCCTTCTCACACTCCGACCCGTACATGCAATCACGTCCCGTGTGGGCAACTTTTCCCACTTGGGGCCTGTGACAGCCTGAAATTATCCACACGCCCAGTGTTGTGACAGCTAGCGGAAATCCAAATGGCAACACAGTCCTCCGACACCCGGGGGAGACTTCTTGAACCCATGGCCAGGTGGTCCAGTGAGGTGACGTGGTAGTTGTGCTGGATTGCTCGCATTTGTAATGAAGCGGCAGAAGCTCATAGCTTTGGTCAGTGTCGTTTGGGGCACATATGTAGCGAAGGTTGGGGTTTGAGGGGAAGTGAGTAAGGGGAACCCATCCTCTCTCTCTCTCTCTCTCTCTGTCTGCATGTGTCACACTGAGTGACAGGATGCACAACTGGATTGTGAGCCAACCCTGCCAGCACTCGAGTGGCATGCATGGCCTCTCGTCAAGGAGTGGACATATCTTTGTCCTGTGACTCTGTACAGCCTCCAGTACAGTCGGCCATATGTGCATTTCATCAGCCTGAAAAACATTGGGGGGCGGTTCAAATTTCAAAACTGTAAAGTGGAAGTTTTGTTCTTGGCCATTCATTTGCGTCAGTCAGTACACCATATCAGTATGGAAAGTTTTGGGGGCTATGTAACAAATCAAATCTCTAGCACGTCCAGTGGTCATTCATTTGCTAAAGAGTACCGTGGTGACAGGCTGCATCCCATTCTGTTCTTCAAAGAATATTGGTCCGTGGTTTCTGACATGCACCGTCTTACAGGAACTGCCATGTGGTAAATGACATGGCATTTTGTGCGCTTGCAAGGGGCAGAAAATTAAAGCGTTGGGTCAGTTTTATAATCTTTATCAAAATAATAATCTGCAGATGGTAGACTGAAAATGCCTGCCATCACTGTACGTCTATGGTTGGCTGGTTTAGACAAAGCTTTCACATATTGGTCAATCAGAGCTCGTTTAGAATTCCAAACACCTAATGATGGATCATTGGGAAAAGGATTGAGCTAAATTGAATGCAACTGCCTCTCTGGATTGTGGTATGTATACTGAGGTGGCCACCTGACTTGTCCTCCTGTGTTGAGGAGTTGTACTGTAAACTGGCTGTTTACACCTAGACTCTTAGGAAAATGGTTAAAGGCTTAAAGCCTTGAAGGATTTTTGGGCTATCAGGGTATCTTCCCCTCCAAGGTGTACAGTGAAGCTGTCTGATTATGACTGCCCTGTAGAGCACTTACAGTCTTACAGATATACTTGGTCCATGTCAATCCATGTGGTTTCGGTGTAAGCACACATTTCACACCTTTTGCGGTAGCAGGACCGGTTGTTAGATGGGGGATGCTGCAACTCGTGCTGCTTCATTCTGGCAAGGGGTACTGCCTAGCAGTGCCTCGACTTGATCTTTCCTTATCATACCACGTGTGACACCTTTCTTTACACGTCCCTTCCTTGCCTACCTTGTCCGTATCTTTCTCCCTTTCCTTTCTGGCTCTTCCGAAGCCCCTCTTTCACCAGCCTTCCTCACCCCAACCCCCTGACTTTCCTCTGTTGTCTCTCTGTTCTCCCTTTCTTCCTGCTTTCTGTAGATCTAATGCATCCATCCATCCATCTACTTGTTAGTTATTGCTATCTCATGGGCCATCGTGTTCCACCTACCTAGCTCCTGCGATGATAGTCCAGGTCCAGTATGGCAGTGCCTCCTTTGTATCATCCACTGACATCCAGTACACAGTTCTTACACAAGATAACTGCGCAACTGGTAAGTTGCTGTTTGGGAGAAGCGTGTGGGCTACACACTGGCATGAGTCGATTGTTTGAAAGTTGCAGAGAAGACCAACTGTGACTGGTTGTAATGGATGTTGCAATGTGAAATGATGTGTGGTGCATTGGTTTCACTGGCCCTCGTTTTACCTTCCTTTCCTATCCAGATTTGCAACTTGGAAGGGGTTTGGGGGGACTGGTGTTGTAAGAATGTATGTTATGACCTTTTGGCACTAATTACGCCTGTGATGGAGCTGGGTTACTTTTATTCTCTCACACAAGTTGCGTGCAATGGATTGCATACCTTTGTAGTACAGCGCATACCACCTGTGTCCCTGACTCCCTGCACACCACACTGCATACCCCTCTGCCCCCTCGCTTTCCTCATCGTGCGCATCATGGTTAGCAGGCTCTTCAGCCGGAGGTACATGTGGGCCCAAGGCTGACCCTCTTGCGTGTACCCTGTGGGCTATTCTGTTATGATGATCACACGTGTGGTGTGGGCGATGCTGGAATGAGGATGGCATACAGTCAATTTTGTTGTTGGTTTCTCTTTGTGTAGGCTCAAGGACATGGCGTTGCCTCTGCGTCCCAGTGGGTTTGGAGTTCGCATCTTGAGTCTCCTGCTCACCACATGTTGCATAAAGGGGACCAAACTTCTGTAGCGATGATGGGAAAGCGTCGCCAATTGGGAAGTGATCTGTTCCAGCAGGCAAGCTTCATACATCTGCACTTTTGGTGCTGCATCGACTGTCTTTTCTCCCTCCCTCCCTCCCTCCCTCCCTCCCTCCCTCCCTTCCTCATTCCTCTGTTTGTAGCCCTATGCTCCCTCTCGTCTTCCCAAGGCCTATCTATCCATTCAAACTATAAGCCCTGATCCAGGGCGGGGGGGGGGAGGGAAAGATTGGTCACCATGCCTTTTCATTAACATTCAAGAAACTATCATGTTGATTCTGCATACATCAGACAGCGGTCCTCAGTGATACCTGTGGTTTCCATGTGGTAAGTCCCCTTTGTCACTCTTAATCTGGCTGAGCTGGAAGGCACTGCTATTTGGTAGGGCACGTGCTGCTGCTGTCATGTCATGATGTCAGGACATGTTGATGAACCCAGTGTGATCCCTGGTCATGTTGATTGTTATTAGGTAGGACACCTGCACTCCAGCTGTGAGGTTAGGACTATGATGAAATGTCAGTTTGAGGTAGATTGATGCCGACGATCCCAAAACATTCCTGCCCATGTCATTCCACAAATGATTTTGGCGGCACAGTGTGTTGCAGCCTTCGAAAGGCACTCATGCTCGATGATAATTGGCAAGGAAATGTAGGCAAACGACAAGACAGAATAAGAAGCGTGAGAGGAGAGCAACTCCAGGTGATAGTCAATCTGTACGAACTCCAGATGATAGTCGATCTATACAAATTCTCGTCTCTCTTCTCCCTCTTCAACTTGTGTGCTCCTCTCCTTCCTGTTTTTAACTCAGAAACTCATCATCCTGTCAACTACTATTGGTGAGGCCACTCTGACTGGGCAAGGAAGAGGAGGAGAAGGAGAGATGGAGGAGAGAGAAAGGAGGAAGACAGGACAACGGCGAGGTGGAGGAGGGATGAAGGAAAGAAGAGATGAGGAGGAGGGACAAGGAGGAGGAGGAGGAGGTGAGTTGGAGGGAGGGTGGTGGCTCCTCGGCGGCTTTGTGCCCTTCGTAGATGGTGGCTGGAGAGGCGCGGCCTAAAGGAGGACGGCAATGAGACAGCAGGCCCACCTTCTCGAAGACCTGAGAGAAGAGACAAGGAGGAGGAGAGATGCACACCATTGCCTTTCTACAAGTTTCCTGCCTTTCAGAAAAAAAGAAAAAAGGAAAGAAGAACATTGAGATTTGCTGTCCGACATGTCACTGAGTCCAAACATTGAAGGGGAGAGGAGTGCGGGGGAGGAGAAGGATGACTGGGCGAGGAGGAGGAGGAGAAGGAGAGAGAAAGGAGGAAGGCAGGACAACGACGAGGTGGAGGAGGTATGGAGGAGAGGAAAGGTGAGGCCTAAAGGAAGACAGTGATGGCACAGCATGACCACCTTCTCGAAGACCTGTGAGGCTTTGTCACACCCTACAACCCTCCCAGCGGCAAGCACTTCCGCATTTCAAAGTGTTTTCAGGCTGTGCCTACAACCCACCTAGTGGCAAGCACTTTTGGATTTCAAATTGTCTTTAGGTGCTTGAGCACGGCCCGCTTTTTTTTCCGTCTGTTCTGTTTTTTTCCGAGGAGGTGTGGGTCCCAACAAATCAAGAGCTGTGACC